TTCCTATGTATAATTAACCAGGCTAACTAATCTTGCTTGACAAACACTGATATAAACATCAGCTCTGACACTGAGCCAAAGCAACCACACTAGGATCTGTGCCAATGCTGAATTCTTCAGTCTTGTATCATAAAACGACTTGTCTGTTGTATTTACAGTTCCAGTGGCTCTGGACTCTGCCAGCAGCTGGCCAGAAGAACAGATTTGAACTTATACATTATGCCAGAACATGTGCATTTGATTAGAAGAAAGAAATTATGCATATTTCTTCTGGATGGTGGTATTCATCAGACCTCCCACTGTAAACTAATTGTAAGATATGTTTTGCTAGCATACAATAAATCAGTATATCTCAAGAGGCAATACAGCTCTTCAGCCTACTACTATCTGTTATCCCACTCTCTAAATCAGTACCTCAAGTCAGAAAATTCAGCATTTCACTGTGTTTTAATTGCAAAGGATAGAATTTGAATGTAACAGAACAGCACTTTTCTTTCTTCATATATAAAGGCAAAAATACCTTACCTCATTAACTGAGTAATGAGGGACTTTGTAAAACTATTCCTGTGACATCTCGTTCATTTCTTCAATCCTCAGGAACAGAAATCTTCATAACAACCTGCTAGGCAGACCGTATTTCAAAACCTACCTAGGAACACCCCATCGTGGTAAGCAGAAGAACCCACTCTGGTTTCCAGCAAACACTCACAAGCTATAAACTGTCACCACAAAAGACCTACTTCTCCTGCGACCATTAGAGAGGGTCCACCAGGATGGGATGAGCAGGTTGGTGTTATGGCAACAAGCATAGGAAGCAAGTTTTTCAGAAGGTTCACATCTTATAGGGACTTCTAAATTAACTAATCTCACACTGAAAACACTTTTTTTTTTACTTCAGACCATACACTTGACATTGAATGTGAACCATTCTGTTCTGAGCTGAAAACATGAGTCACGGGCTTCCTTCAACACAGAGCAGCTCTTAAGATTATGAATTCTTGCTTTATTTTCTAACCAGCAGGACTCACTGGTGTCCAGCAGGTGCAAGATGGGCTCAAGGTCCCAGTGGCAGGCCTGACATGGATTTCAGCCCTTGGTGGTACCCAAGAGGGTACCTGTGACTCAGAGGGATGTGCTGCTCTCACGACAAGGTACAGAGTCCACTCAGAGAGCAGCCACACCAGCTCAAAGTACCTTCCACCCCTTGCCACGGGCACCAACGCAGCCGCTGGCAGCACGTCAAGCGCTGACTCAGCTGAGGTAGCCAGGGCAGCAGGCACTGATGGCATTGCTCTGGACCCTGCCCAGTCACAGGGACAGCTGCCCTTCTCCAGAAAAGGGGAATACCACAGCCCCTTAGCAACAGATGAGTTACCCAGACACCCCACTGCAAACACAACTTTAGCATTTCCACACACCACCCAGCCAACCTGTCCCCTGCCTCCTCACATCAGGGACTTCCTAGATGCCTCAGACTCTGCAAAGTCTTTTAAAAAAATAAAATACATTCCAAAGACACTCCACCTACTACCAAAACATTTCTCAAGTCTTGCAGGAGAAATTTATAGTACAGTGTTTTTCTACAGGGCACTCCTTCAAGCTCCTGAAAATGCCAGCTAACCCCAAGAAGGAACTTTGGGACCTGGGGAGTCAGAAGCTGCAGCACACCACTCTTTCACCTGCAGTCTCTGGAGCATGACCTGATCCAGAGGGCACTCTTGGTGACTGGCCCCACAGACCAAGCTGCAGCTTTGCTTCTGACCTCAAACACCTACCAGCTTTTCTCCACCAAGTAAAACCCCAGCAGAATAGTCACAGGTCTTCAAAAACAGAGTAACTTCTGTCCTCAGGCCAGAACATCCTTCTGCACAAGGACATCAATCTTCTCACTCTGAGGAGAAGGCAGAACTTAAGTCAATTATGCCTCAATGATGTCCTTAGCCATTTACCTACTAGAAAAGGGGAACCATTGTATTATCTTACTAGAAAATGGAGATGAGAATGCAAAAGCCAACAAGCAGTGCATTGGATCTGTCAACCTTTAACCATGTTTCAATCGTTTAACCAGCTAGTATTTTAAAATATGACTTACACCAAAGATAGATCTGTATCACCAGTCTGCAAAGATGAAAGGTTACATTTCATGATCAACCCTCAAATGTCAACCAGCATAGGATGTTCCTGTGAACATCCAGCACCCTTGAAAATTTTACTTCTGTTCATTCTCTTTGATGCAATCGTAACTTTCTTGGAATGCTCTTGAAATTAATTTGGAAACAGTACAATCCTAACTGACTTGTTTCTCTCATTTAGCTGAAAGGAAAATTTCCTTTATTGGACTAAAGTTGTTCAGGTACATGTTTGTGTAGCTACAAAAATATGAAGCACTTCACACTAAACTGACATAATCTGACATAAGTTCATTTATTAGGAAAATCTCTTCCCTTCTTCCAACACTTAGGCTGAAGACTAAAGTGATACTACTTATTTGAAAGTATAAACCTTTAAATAATGATGGGCTGATATGACATAAGTACATTTTCATGACAAACTGAGTTACCATGTACTTAAAGGCTTACATTTTAAACAAACTGTTCTGAACTCTTAGTTCCAACTAATATATATATCCCAAAACAATAAATTAAAACAGCACATGTCCTGCAAAGAAGTTCTAGTCCAGTTGCCCGTGAAAACCCCATATCCTTGCAAATGTTAAGCTCTGAAAGTTTTGTGGGCATTCATTTACATGTATAATCTGTCAGATAAAATAAAAATACACTGGATTTAAATTTGGGATTTGTGTGTATGCGTTCATAAGACTTCAGATGATAAGAAGAATGGGAAGGTTTAATGGTGCAAGAGAAATGGCTTCAACCGACGTGGGAACCTGCATGCACTCCAGTAGTCAGTTGTTAGTCACAGGAATAATTTTCCTGCTGAAGGCGTCCCACATCTCAGTTACAGACGGCAGCTGCTATTCCAGGGCCTCACATACCCATGGTACTTATTATTATAACAAGGGGATTGGTTACTATTAACATCTGATGAACATTTCTCTGCATTTGGTTTTACAAACAATATTGAGATATTGAGTCCCTTTAAGTCCTGAACTGTTGCCTAGCAGTTCCATGTGCTGTTTGGAGTCTGACAACTTTTACATTAGATCACTAGAGCCTGAAGTCTTTACAGAAAAGAGCTTGCTGCCTATTTATAAAACAAGTTCTGTTTGTTATTACTATTTGTACAATAATGCCTTCAAAAACACCAAAACTCCTTTTTAAAATCATCTCTACAACCCAAAGTGACTGCCCAAACGACTCTTCTTCCCAGCTAGTGCCAACAGCTTCCATTCATCCAGCTGGTTAGTTTTCCAAATACCTTGTACAAAGGCTGGACAGCCTCCTTACACTCCAGCCCAACTTTTAAGTAACCCCCCTCAACATCCACCCCTAAATACACCCCCTCTTAGCCAGAAATGAACTTTCAGTAGTAAACAGAAGTCACCCAGAGAAAGGATGAGGATGACCTTAAAGGTGTGCCAAGGCAGGATGGTTATTTATACCCCCTAATACCAGGCTCTCAACAGGAATAAGTGAAATCCAATCTAAGCACATTTTAAAACCGATCTACCCAAGCTTTAACTGAATTGATGATCAGCAATTTAGTGGAGCTAAGCATAAGGAGCAATGTTTCAACCTTTTATTATTCCCACTACTGTGTGAATTTGTGCGAGGGTGCATACACAGGTTTCAGCGTGTTCCCAAGCAACGTAAACATCACTGAACTTTTCACTGGTAAACATCACTAAACATCATCTTCATTTTTCAGAGGGGAATCTCAGTACCACTCACACATGCCTTTAGTCCAGTGCAAGCTAGGATCGAGAGAAATGTCTAACGTCCCCCATTGTCATTTCTTTAAGCATCATTGGTTTTCTTTCTGGTGTATCTCTAAAAGCAGTGGACCTTTTGAAAATGTACTGTCAAGTCAGAAATAAAAGAAATAAGGATGTTTTCAGCATTCAGGACAACAAAGTAAACTTAGTTCCAAGGTAGTTCACTTTGCTGTGGAAAAACAGACAAGGAAAGAAAAGACAAGTTATCCCCAAACTAATGGCATTGCAAGTGCAAATATTCATTGGGAAAGAAACTAATAATACAAGTGTCCTCGCCATTTCTGAGAAAGCCTAGAAAAAAACAATTTTTCTCTTTAAAACAAGAGTTTGCTGTGCTCAAACGAAACATCCCATATTTGTGCATACTCAATGCAGTAACGATAACCTCTTCAACTGTAGAACGGCGACAAGAGTTGGAACTCGAAACTGTTTAGAATAATACTACTTCATGGGCGAAAACATCCAAATAATCGGATCAGAGTACGTTCGCAGCGAGGGGGTGGAGATCTTGCTCCCCCCGAAACGTAGCCAAGGTTAGACGTTTTCCGTGAGGTACGCCCCGCACTGGTCCACCCTGCCCGCACCTGGATGAGCACAAGCAGATGCGGAGTGCAGCCGGCTCCAGCCCCACCGCGAGAAGCGAGGAGCCGCCTGCAGCCCCCGGGACGGCTTCACTAAGTGATGGCCGGTGTCACACAGGGGAAAAGGCAAGGGACTGGACGGGGTCCGGCAGCCCAAGAGTCCGGTGAAAACGCAGCAAGGGGAGCCGCGAGGAGCCGCCCCGGAGCGCTGCTGGCACCGGCGGGACGAAAGACCCGCAGCGGGCGGCCCCGCTTTTAGCGGGACCCCGGCACCCGGCCAGGGCTGGAGAGCGGCTGCCGTCACGGGAGTCCCTCAGGCAGGGCACGGTACCCGGGGCGGTGCTGCGGGACAGCCCCGCGGGGCTGCCCGAGCCACAGGCACCCGCCGACAGCGCGGACGCGCCACGGGGCCAGTGCCAGTGCAAAGTTTCCGGCAGGTCCCGGCCGCAGCTGCGAGGCGGGTCGGGCCGGCTGGGAGCCGGTGCCGGCGGACGGACAGGAGTTCGGGCCCCGCGGACCCTTACCTTGGATCGCTCTTTCACGTAGTATTTGCCGAGCCGGCTCCCGCAGTACATCACCAGCCGGTCTATCAGCGTGAGGAGAAAGTTGATGGCCTCGCAGCCCTCCTCCGTGCCTCCGATCCACTTGATCTGGTCGCCGCGGAGATGCCGCTTGGCGACACCGCGGCTGGGGCCAGCCAGCTGCCCGTCGGCCAGTTCCCCGTCGCGGTGCATCCGCTTCACCCGCTCCAGCACGCAGTCGCCCACCACCTCCCCCAAGAAGTTGTCCAGGTAGCAGAAGCCGATGTCGTGCAAGCAGGGCACGACGTACTCCAGGGCGATTCTCTCCAGGTCCAGCCTCATGATGTGCCCCAGCGGCATGGCGAGGCGGGGACGGGCGCGCCGCTGCTCTGCCGGCGCCCGCGCTGGGAGGCGATGCTCGTCGGGCCGCCGTCCTCTCCAGGCCGAGCCGGGCAGGGGCTCCGCCGCGGCGCGGGGCCAGGCGAGGCGAGGTAAAACTTTCGCCGCTGCGGGCTCGGCTACGCACCGCGGCCCGACGCTGCGGGAGCGGCGGTGCTGCCGAAGCCCTGCGCTGCTGCTACTGCCGCCCCAGCGGTGTGCGGGAGCGGCCCGGGGCGTGCGGCAAGGGCGGGGCAGCCCCCGCCCGTCGTGAGGAAGGCGCAGATGGCCCCGCGCTGATTAATACGCCGGCTACGTGCGGGATGTGTGCTCACGCCGCCGCACGTGGGAGGGGCCGCCCGGCGCGATGGCCCCGCCCCCTCCCTCCCGCGGCGGCCCGGGCAGCCAATGGCGTGGGGCGGGGCGGGGCCGGCCCGCGGGGTACGCGCGGCGGGTGCTCCCACACGTGCGCGGGGGGCGTGGCCCGCGGTCCCGCGCGCCTTCGGAGTGGGCGTGGGCAGCGCCATTGAGGAATTCTCCCCTGGCATGTCGGCTGCGACCCCCGCCCGGCCCCGCCGCGCCGGCCCGCGGCCACCGCGCCTCGCCCTGGTCCGCCGCTCCGGAGCTCTTGGAATAGTCCAAGTGAAGTTTGCCAGTGCCCCGGCGGGGCTCTCCGGCCGCCTCTTACCTCCGCCTTCCGCAGCGGCTGTTTCAGCACCAGAACGGAACTGTTGCATTAAGCGGCAGATAAAGCTTTTCTGGACGAGGAAAGCACTGCTTTATAAAAGGTTTACACAGCAAAATAGCACTTCCCTGAATTATTTATCCCAAAGGGACCGTCAGGTTGCTTGGCTCTGGTAGCAAGAAACACCTCCCGGACCGTCGGCAGCTTCGTGCCACGCCGGGACAGCTGCGGTCAAACTGACAAACTTCGTTCCAAACCAAAACTTTCCTTTCCCCCGCGTGTCCCCTTGCCGGTAACGCTGTCTCTGCACCGGCCGGCCGCGAAGTACGGTCCCGCGGTCGCTGTTGGGTCTGTTCCGACCGAGCAGCATGCTTTCATGTAAAATGCCTCCAGAGAGGCGAACAGCACACAACCGCTCAGCTCCGCTCACACACGCAACATGTTCGGGGTTTGCTAAACAAACAAGAGAAGCCTCCACAGAAACCAAAACCAAAGCAAAGTCACGTTGTGGAGAGGTGCTGCCTGCGGCCAAGCCGGGCGGGACAGGGCGACCTTGTCTCAGCCGGTGTCTGTGAAGTTACCGATATCACACAGCCCCGCAGCCGGCTGTGTGCCGAGGGCATCCATCCATCCATCCATCCATCCATCCATCCATCCATCCATCCATCCATCCATCCATCCATCCATCCATCCATTCTGCCCAGCGCGTTCACCTGTGCTGCCCCACGCGGCCCCGCGGAGTCCGCACACACAGACACACACAGACAGACACACAGACACACACGTACAGCCCTTCCGCACCTCCACGGGTGGCAGCGCTGGCTGAGCTCCGCCCGGAGCCCGCAGGACGCGGGTCCGTGTGTGCGCCTGCCCTGGGGCCGTGCCCGCGGAACCCGCTCAGCGCCCGGCACAGCGGCACGGCACGGCACGGCACGGGACTGGCACGGGACTGACACGGCACGGCACGGCACGGCACGGCACGGCACGGCACGGCACGGGACTGGCACGGCTTCGGCTGGAATCCGGCACGTTTCACCCCCCAAAAAGGCAAAATCTGTGCTGGTTCTTTTCTTCCCCTTCACGTCGCGAATCCTGACGGGATTACAAGCAGTCCGTGCTGCTGATGCTGCTCGAGCTGCAAACTCCAGGCCCCGGCATATGCAGGAGCTGGTCACGTATTCCACGTTTATTCTCCTTGAATCCAGTGGTATCTACCCCTCAGTGCATAGCACTAAGCACAGGTCTAATCCTCTAAAATTATTCCCTGACAGCTCTGTCGAAAGCCAAGCAATATTACATCAGATAAATTCGTATGTGGTGAGATACGGACTGTCAAAGGACCTTATTTGATTTAGGTACACACTTCACATTAAAGTGGGGTTATAATTAATAAGATACAATTCTGAATCTTATTAATCCCTTAATGCTTATCTGAAAAATCAGTCATGCATGATAGGTTAAGAGCAGTTGTCATAATCAGCAAGGGATGCAAGATTAGTTCAACTGCAAAATCTCAACGTGATGACATTTGGAAACGTTAGGAAATATTGTTGATGCATTATTGTACTGTTTACATATTTTTATTATGTAAAAGCCATTTTGTGCCAAAAACTGTTTGATTCTTCCCCTCGTTTACACACACATGCAAATATACAGTATACAGAATCAAGTATTTGTAGACGCTGAACTTCTAGCTTTTCTATCAAGTGTAATGATGCCATTTTGACAAGTCAAGTGCTAAGAGAGATGCCTTCTGGCAGTAGCTGAAGTTGGTCATTACAGCTTTATTTCTCTCCTTTTGAAAGTTTGAAATTATGAGTTAGACTGATGAGTTAGATCTGCATTAGAAAAAGTCACCTTAGAGAGTTAGAGATTTGTGTTAGAAAACTGAGTCCACAGCCCCTCTTGCAGAGTGATGTTCACATAGTTGTAAATACTTTTATTCCTCCAACATTGATGTCATGTCTTCCTCAGGAGGGCATTCACTGCCCTGTGTTGACAAATCAGGTTTTCTGGTGGAGTGTTTTGTCCCTTGAAGCATGATGTGCTTTTCATACTAGCATTTGCAGTAGCAGTCAGATGCACTACTGTTCCACGCGAAGATAAAACATCAGGAGGAACAAACCCCAAGAGTAGTGATTTTATTTATTTTTATTTGCCTGTTCTCTTTTACTTCAACTCTTTGTCCCTTGATGATGTTCATGCCCCTTGCATGATGATAATGAAAGTGTGTGATAGAGACTGATTGCTTAGGTTAGAAACTCTCCATGCATACAGACTGCACCCAGAAACAGTTTTCATTCCATCATTATACTGGAACAAGTTTGTAACCTGAGCAATCACAGCCTCTATCACATATCACCTCGATCATCACCAAGAAAAGACAAATTCCTGCCTAGCCCACAGACACTCTGCAAGAGCTCTCTCATTCCCCTTAGGGGTACAAAAGCTGAGTCGAGAGATGCTGGGCTGCAATTGTAGTAATTCCCAAGCTTAGCCATGAACTTGCCAAAAAAAAGGCAAAGCAGTCCTCAGGGTATACAATAGTATATGAGAACCACCCAGAAGAACAAAAGAAGAACAGAACCAGACACTGAACCTTCCATAGCACTTCGTGTGACCACTCTACTGCTCCCCAAACAAAGCTATCACAGAGCATGTACAATGTAAGTATTGCACAGGGCACAAACAAAGGCATGAAGGTGTGAAATCAGACAATTCACAATGTCACCTGCACTTTTGGACATGCATAAAGTTGTTTACAGTGCTGTGCATCACAGGCAAGAAAGGTGTCACCACATTTTAATTAAAAATCCTACATCGTTCAATTATATATGAGCAATCCCTCTGCCATGTAAAGCTCTGTTTATTCTTACCACATAGATTTTTTTTCACTTCTAAAATTAATTCTGTGGTTTTTTGCTTTCCATTTCATCTAATTTTGAAAACTTCTGATTCCTGCATATCTGTTGCTTTCACTGCCAGTATGGCACACATTAGAGTTCAGTAGACTAAAACAGGACATTAGGATGCTGGCAGAATAATTTTTAAGGAGATTTGTTTTAGAGGATTAGAATAATTGGTGTCAGTTAAGCCTGAATATTTGTTATATACTAATGATACTTTTTTGACAAGAGAATTTACAGATGAACTGCTTCATACTTTTTCAGAGCAGAGAGTTTTAAACATTTTGAGTCTTGTTTTCAGGTTCTTCCTGCTGGAAAACCAGACTACTTCAGTGCCAAGAGTTTAACTGCAAAAGCCCCAGCAAGAGAAAGGGAAGAAGGGAAGAGTATTCTTTATATCAGTGAGAAACTGTAAAACTGTACTCTTAATACCTCATAGCATGATTTGTAGAGCTGAGGTCGCATGATCTAGTGGGACAATAACTGAAGTTCTGCCTACAGAAGGTACTTTTCTGACAATGTTGGTATAGTTATACAACCCCTCTGGCCAAGGGGTAGGTAGTGTTTGTACAGGGATGACACACCAGTGCTAGCACAGCTTGCCATGACTTCTTAAGAAGTCACTGCCCTGCCCATCCCTCTGCTGCAGGTTTCAATCTCTCTGCAGCAGTGGCAGAAGAGAATGTGAGTTTCTGCCTCAGCCCCTTCAAAAGTGCTAAGTCCAGAGCTTTACATCCACCTTCTCTGGGGGCCTAGTTTTACACAGAAATAGCTGGGACATCAGTGACTGTACTATGTACTATCCTGGCAGAGCAGCCCTCTTTTGGTGTGATGTCTCCTCCAACTGCAGTCACAAGACTTGACAGAGATCCTTTATCAGCACCCTTAATATTATGTCACACTGAAAGCAGGAGTGAGGACAAAGGTACCTGTCATGGCTTGAGCTGACCTAACAACTCATTCAGCACCTTTTCCCCCCACACCTCTCTTTGCACTTGCTTTGGCTCACTTTGGACTCCTTGATGGCTGATCTCCTTTGCTAAGATGGCAGAAAAGCAATTCTGAGAAAAATAAAAGAGTCATTTGGGGAGTTAAATTATCTTCTAGTCTAGGTCTAGTGAGATGTGCTGGAAGGATGGGAACCCTTCGGGCAGGAGTGAATAATTTGATAAACGAGAAGGAACACCAGCTGTCTGCCTGAGGTGTTGACTGTGCCCTCATGAGACCCCCACAAGCAGTGCTGGGTCCACACCTGGAGTCTTCAGCACAAGAGGGTCATGGACCTCTTAGAGCAGGCCCAGAGGAGATCAGAGAGTGGGAACACCTCTCTTATGCAGACAGACTGAGAGAGCTGGGAGAAGAGAAGGCTCTAGTTTCCAGTACTTAACAATTGCTCTTAAAAGAGTGGGAGAGGAACTTTTTATATGGGCACATTAGTGATAGAACAAGGGTAAATTACTTAAATTAAAAGAGAAGAGATTTAGACTGGATCTAAGGAGGAAATTCTTTACTGTGATGTTGCTGAGGCACTGGAACAGGCTGCTCAGAGATGTTGTGGATGTCCCATCCCTGGAAGTGTTCAAGGCCAGGTTGGATGGGGCTCTGAGCAATCTGCAGTAGTGGGTGACATCCCTGCCCAGGACGGGGAGTTTGGAACTAGATGATATTTAAGGTCTCTTCCAACTCATGGCATTCTATGATAGCTCGGCTGTCATTGGTATCTTTCTTTCCTTTCCAGCCATCCAGCCTGAATGAGGTTAGTTAACATGTGATAAACTTCCAGGTAGGCTTTGTGTAGTCTAAACATCTGCTAAAGATTGCTTTGTTTGTAGTGGGCTGAGTATCTGATACACCAGTACCTTCCAAATCCTCATCTTGGGAAAAAACAGCCCTATAAATGTTGTTATGGCTAAGGGAGCTCAGCTAGCTGTCAGCCACAATCAAGTGTTTTATCAAAGCTTTCCTAAAGCAGTCTGGGTGTAAAGATGGCTCTTTGGGAAGTGAGATTTCCAGCTTCCTGATAGGATTAAATGCTCCTATCTTGTTCCAGAAGCCCCTGAGGAATGCCAGACCTTAAACTTGCAGCTTTTACTGGCCTGTGGTGCATCTCTTGTAGAGCAATGGACATTTGTGGCACGTTGTCAGCTGCTCGAGGAGCCTTGGGGTGTTCCAAACTGTCCTGCAGGGACAGTTTGGCAAGTGAGCAGAATGAAAGGAGAGCAAAGTTGTTTAGCAAATGCACTTCATGCACAGTCTGACAATATTGCACTAGGCAGTTAATTTTATGGCTATCAAGTATCACACTATCAAGAACTTGGAATTAAGTATGGCTATGAGGGTAAAAAAGGCAACTATTGAGACTTTCATTATGTAAACTGAGAAGTTCAGTTGGTAAATAAATAGCACAAAGAAGGGAAAACAATAAATTTTGAGAATATAATATTTTTATAAAACAACTTTTCAATGATTTTTAAATTGTTAAATCTTTGTAGGAATCTGAGTATGCAGATATCCATATGCATATTTTCATGTTTTAGAGAGGTTTGTCTTACCTTTTTGATTTGGATTGATCAGTTAAGAACTGTATCCAGTGCAAGAACTTCTGTTTGAAATGAAATAGAAAATTACTATAGATAGCATTATGATTAATTTTAAAGTTACTTCTTTTTAAGTGGATGTTCCTCCTCATAAACCATATCCCTTTCTCCCAAGTGTATTTCAATGTTTCTGGAACTAAATAGTAAATCCTGATGACAGAGAAATAAGTCTGCACCAAACAGAGCATTGTAATAAAATAGAGGATCTGTCCAGGAAAAAATAATCCACGATCCTTTGATCAGAAGACTGGAGCCGTAGATGTGCTAACTGCATTGCCAGGGATTTCAAGCCAGAGAATTATAAAAGTCAGAAATATGAATTTTGGCAGACAAGAAATCAAGTTCTCAATATTATAGAGACTTTTACTGATAAAACCAGATCTCAAAATCTTTTCTATGTCTTTTCTTTTGCAAAGACATTAACTGACCATTAATCCAGATGAAGAACACCAGAAATAAAGTATTTAAAATGTCTTCCCTGCTAGTTTGCAGTTGTTGAATTTTCACATTTCTAGTTTTCCCATAGCTTCCAAGGAAAACAAGAAATAAGTATGTGATGTAAACAAAAATCAAAACAAGAGGGTATTTGAAGATAGACAGTTTTAGGGATCAGACTTGCCACTTTTCCTGTTCTATTAGTTAATGAATGAGCAGTCATTTATTATCTAGGCTTTATAATTAAAGTCATCGCTGTGCAATTGTCAGTACAAGCAAATTTAATTTCTGAGAAATCTCTAGTTGGCAAGAAAAATTACACTTGACTTTCAGCAGTTACTGAGATGCTAGTAAGATAGTAGAGCTGTCTGGGTTGGGTTGTTGTTGACTTTTCTCTTTGGATGTTTTTTGTGTGCGTGTGTGGTTTGCAGGGGTTTTTTAAAATTCTTTTAAGTTGCTGTATCAGAGACAACAAAAAATCTTATAAGGGAATAAAATCAGAATTCTGGTTCTTCTTACCTGTATTGGATCAATACAAATACAAAAATAGTCTTCAACATGGGGGGGAGTGTGATTTTGCTTTATCTTATTTCATCTCCTTGCCTTTTTATTTAGGAAGTCCTTACCTATGAGAGGAAAATTTTTAAGCAACTTAGTAAGCATAATTTTAAATCTCATGCCTTATCTCTCAAGAATTATGGTCCTCCATTTTTTCTTTAGATTAAGATATGATACGAGTTAAATAAATAAACGGAAACCAAGATTTTTTTTAATGTGCCTGAGTGAGAAGTTAAAAAGTTTTAAAAAGTTAAAAAGATTACTTAAGATAATTAAAGCGGTGTGTTTCTGCCCTTTTATTCCTATCCTACAAGTATAGGTCCTTTATACTAAAATATAGACTTTCTTGCATCAGAAAGATAATAAATCCCATAAAATATAAGACATAATCATATTAATAAAAGTAGAATTTGCATTTTTACATAAAGATCACAATAAAATATTTTAGATTTGGGTTTCTATCATACAAAATTAATATAAATGTAAGCTTTTTCTGTATTGTAAGTTTGATGATTAGGAACAGATGTTCAAGCACTTGGACATCTTACCCTATATATAATTACTAGAACTGTCCTCCTAATCATAGCATGCAAAATTGATCACTTACCGTACCTAATTAACGCAATTTTTCCTCCTAATGCAGAACCATGAAAATACCGTTCCCTAAATTCTCTTCTGAATCACTTGCTAATAAAACTTACACAAAAGATTTGTTTTCCTCTCTTAAATTAATTTTTCTAATAAAACCTCATCTATTTTGTAGGACATTTGCCAGATGTTACTCTGAGCAGTAGTGCCTAAGTTTTACTTTGGCTGCATAAAATGTAAAATATATGTTCATGTAAAGTTATAAAATTGGTAATTTTAATATATAAATAGTTGCAGTGCCAGCCTTATAACAAAACTGCAGTTAGTTGGTCCTGTACACAGTTCTAAATGCCCTCATGGCAGGGAATAGAGTTTGATCTATTTAAAATATTACTTTCTTCTTTTTGTAAATAAAATTGAACCAAAATCTTGACATTCATGCATTTCTGAACGTGTTCTGGGTGGCTACTGCTTGTTCACACATTTGATTTTCTGATAAGCAATTTTTTTTCTTTTTGCAATTTTTTTCTGGCTCAGGCACTGATAGCAAGCTACCCAGCCACATAATAGCAACAAAAATCAATGCTATTATGTGATTTTCATAAGTTAAGAGTTAACAGCACAAGTCACAGTAGTTATTGATCACATTTGCACTCCTTTCAGCTCATGTTAGCCAAATGCTATGCTATTCCTCTTAAACCTGAAAGTCCTTGTGCTGGTGTTCAGAACAGTGTGCACATGGTTTTCCATCTCTGACATGAGGCTCCAACTCTCTTTGCTGGCAAAGTGACATCACTTTTCACAAATTACTTGCAACCTGGCAAAAAAACAATACTTGTAATTAAAACCTGCCTTTTCAAACATGCTTTGCTGTTTCCAACTAGGCAGTAGTGTCTTTCCCCATCAAAACTTTTTAAAGGCAATGCAGAAAATTCAAGCCTTCATGTAGTGCATTAAAAAAAAGAAGACTCTTAAAGGAATTACACATATTGTGGAAAAATACTGTCCATATTTTTTTCATAAGTGTTGAAATTATTTTTGCGTCCTGTGGGAAAACTTAAATGGAATTTGTGTTTCAGGCAGAAAATGGTTACTTAAGTGATAGATCAGGGGGTTAATGAAGAAAGGCCTTGTATAATTACTTTCTTGCCTAATTAAAGCAAAAGTAGTGAAAAATATCATAACCAAAAGAGTTGACCATTTATTTCATTCATATATATTTAAAGCATTAATTTTTTAGACAAGCCAATGTTCCTACAACTCAAAGCGAGGATCCAGTTACTCCTAATTAATTGACTTTAATTCATGTTTTTCATAATTCTTTCACAGAGGTTGATGTTAATGTTTGTTTCACTTTCTGTTTGACTGTGAAATGTTAGCATGTCAGGATGCTAGTATGTTCAAACAGAACCCTTGCATATTGCAACCATAATCTCTCCTTTGAAGAGGGACATTTTTGTCACCAACGTTTTTTTTCATGAGGAATCTTTTGGGCTGCCTTTCCTGAGCAGACATTGCAGTAATTAGACTCAGTTCAAAATGTCATTCTTACTTAATAAACAGATCAATCAATGCAGCTTCTTCATTGCCTTTCTGGGGATTTCCAAGTCAGAGGGTAAGTAGCTATTTACTTCCAAAAACCTAATGGGGGTTCAAAAGCAACCTGAAGGAAGTCAAGCACCTTTGGAGATGTGGGTGCTCAAACCAGAGAGTAGCAGCTAGCATCTTCAGTAGAGATTTCCCTAGATTAAGATAATTTGAGCAGATACAGGTAGCTGCCTTATCCAGAGACTAGAGCACCCAGGCTTATCTTCAAGGCTTTATGTCTGTGCTAAATGAGCCTCTAAGTGATTCTTTCTTTAGCAATTTTCTGAGAAAAATATGTATTTTTTCTGGATGTATGGAGGAAATATAGATAGAGACTACCCATGACTAAACTTGTCTTCCCATTGTGTGGCTGTGACTGCAAACTTCTCTAGGCTCTTATCTGCACTGCTGTGCTCTGAATAATCAGATACTGTGATCTGAAGAAAAAATCCCATCTTCAAAATTGTTCTTTTTCTCCTTTCCCTAAGGAAGAAAGAGGTGTTCATGTTTTGCAAAGGAAGATTTTTGGCAAATGACTGCACCCTTACTTAACCAGGAATTACTGATGATGCCCTCTGGCTTGGGGGTGAGGAATCACCTGAAGACATCTGTGCCACGTTTCATTGTAACTTTAGAGGTTGATTACACTCTTTGCTTAGGCTTGATCTAGGCATGAGTCTATCCTGCAGTTCCAGGAGAGTGTTCTTAATGTCATGTTCTATCCCAGGAACCACTGTGCCTTCAGAAGTAAGAGCTGATGAAAAGTCCACTGAAATCTTGCATGTGACCTCAGTCAAGTCTTGGGGTAAAAAAAGATATTTCTTCTAGCAGATTTATTGCTTTTATAGAGGCCAGATAATCAATAGGTTATAGTGTATTGATCCTAGAGTGAATTGATTCATGTTCATCTTTTTTGTTGACATTTTTGTTATAAACTTTTATTTTTTCCATGAAATACAGGAAAGATAAATCAACATTTTAAAGATAGTCTTTAAAGTAAGCTGCTGTTTCATCAACAAGCTATCTGAGTGTATGTGTATTATTAAATATGTGACCAGGAGTAGATACAACATCAATGATAAGAATAGGTGGATTTTATAGAGAAAACTGGATCATCCTGTTAATCTGTCTCGTATCAGCATCACATTTTAGTGCAAATGAACTATGCACAAAGAAGCAAAGAACACAGATAAGATCTGGGTCTCAGCATGCATGTATATTTAGATGTATAATAGCTAAACTGTGTACTATTTTATGCTCTGAGATCCACAGTGATTTTCAAAAGGTCTTAAAGGTCAGGGAAAATAAGCTTGCTTTGCAGGGTCATGTCTGAGAAAGTAATGCAATCACAACAGAATTGTTCATCTGAGCATGGAAATTGTGCCATGGAATTTACTTTGCTCTAGTAGAAATGTATGTGCATCCCACCCACATCTATCTGGCACTGACACATCCTGCTGACACTTTGGCACACTCTTTTCTAGAGTGTGCAAACCCCTCCCAGTGGGCCACACCAGAGCAGTGGAAATGGTGACTTATACTGATAAAGCCATCTCAGGGCAGGTCACATCCCACAGTGTCTGTGGTCAAGTATCTGGTAAATGATTTGAATGCTGCTATCCATAATTCAAAGTGATATTAAAAGACTTTTTACATTACAAGATGCTACATTCCCACTTCTATTCTCTGTCAATGAACATGAACTACGTGGTCCATAACGTGCAGAGAGGAAGTAATGGATTGTCTTGGACAGAAAGGCAAAGCAAACAAACTGAAAGCCCAGCACTGGTCCATGTCCAACCCTAACACAGAGACAGAGACCAGAATCTCACTCAGATGCCTGAACTTTTATTACTCCACAAGAAACAAACTCAGCTAAATATTTAGCACTCGTGCTCTCAAATTCCTGAAGAATTACCTTGAATTCCAAGTAATGTTTACTGCACTGAAATTTTGAGTAAGCATCTCTGCCCCTACCTTCCCAGCTGATGAAAACATGTTGAGTGAAAATGTGGGAATCCTACCTTTCTTCCCGTTCATTCGCATGCGTTCAAATTATCTTCCATTTCTTCTCTGGCAAGATTTTTTTTCTGATTCTCCACTATCCAAAAGAAACAAGCAGACAACCTCCAAAACCCCAAAGATTTTCCTGAAAATAGTTAATAAGTTTCCTCAAACTGACTAAAATCCTTTTTTATAACAGTTCTATAATTTCCAACAAGTGGTCTCCTCTACCTCATGTAACACCCAAAGGCAAATAATTACTGCCAAAAGCTGAATGCAAGAGCAAAAAGTAGTACTTGGGGAGGTAGCATTTTCACCTAAGTGATACAGTGCACAATATTTTGTTGATCTTTTTAAAGCATGTGATTCAATCCATTAATGAAAAATATTTAAATCATATGAAGTGTATTGTATAATATTTTTACGACAAAACTAATTTTCTGTAATGCCATCATATAGAAAAGTAAAGGAATAAATTATATGATAGATGCATGCAAACCACACTTATCGATTATATTACATGTGGTGTGCAATGTGATGCACACATAAAAGCAAATAAGGGCAAAGACATCTAAGATCACTTACAGAAATTCGATTACATTATTTTCCAGATAACATACGAGGGTTTTAAGTAGAACAGGATTTTTTTTTCAGCTACAAACTCAGTCACAGATAAGTAAACTTGTCTTGTGTGTGCATCACTTACTCTCTTTTTTATCCACATACTTGAGTAGTGGATTGTGCCATGCACGTTTCAGGTCATGCTCTCTCTGTCTTAACACATGATAGAAGTACTACAAAGGCAGTATTTATTCAGGGCATGGGAAGCAGTGGCATCATCTCCAGGATAATATTGCAGTGCTCTGCGGAGCTTCTCAGTCACTGGGGGTCTGTTCTGATCCCACGGTGCAGACCACTACTGGAGAGGGGAGGGAGCTACAGAAGCCTCTTGGCAGGAGCCTCTAACAGCTCACTGGAGGTAGTGAGTAGTTTATAGCTATAGAAACCTGTTAGCACTCATGTATTTAAAGGCAGTATTTCACAAGATTCTTAACATTTTGCCAGCACTGCACACAGGAGGAAACTGAATGTGGCAAGAAAGGAAAACGTTCCTCATATTATTCCACCAGCTCTTCAGAAGGCTGTAAAATATATTTGCTTAATATTTTCCCAGCTTGTGTCTTGCCACTTAGGGATTTGTTTTGAAAGATATTCCCTCAAGGATTCTGTCTGGAATAGTTTAACATCCGTCATTAAATACTTCTGCTTACCCTTCCCTGTCCCTTTAGATCTGTATTCCCAGGAGTTTTACAATATGCTGATCTTGCACAGTAAAAAAAGAAAACCAGAAAAAACCTCAACACCCAAGGCCTTAAATGGAGTGTTTGCTTCAAGGCTCTAATAAAGGTTAAAATATATGTTTTTAAGTGGGGGAACTAAAACAACTAGGAACAATTATCTGTTCTTTGTTTTTCCAGTTCACCCATGACCTCAAGAAGTAAATTTCTTCTAAATCTCTTACTACCCCTCTGAAAAAATTCTGGTTAAGGTTGGAAGCATAAGAGAGGGGGAAAAAAGAGTGGTGTGTATATATTTTGTAATCTTATGTCCAGAGGCCAACAAAACACCAACAGAAATGGTAAATTCTACAGTATCTAGAGATTCACAGGGAGCAGTAGCTGGATTTCTTCTCCAATCTAGTATGGCCATCCAGCTGGAATGGCAAAAAAATACTGAAAGACATGCAGCTGGATGCAATCTGGACGAGGAACACAAGACAGAACTACTGTAAGCTGCAATAAGGAATATGCTGGCAATGGCAGGAAATATAAGCCCAGACCTATAAGAGCCAGACATGCAAATCATTGCCACTGCAAATACATACATCACACTCTATCAAGTCACCTCCTCCTTCTATGGAACTTTCAATGGACTCCATCATCTTACAACAATGCCTTGTTGATAAAGTTCAAGTGTTTTGTAAATCAGTGCCCTTTTATTGTAAATGACAACCACAACAATAGATAGAAGATGAACAATAGAGAGAGGAGAGATAAGCACCGGGGTGCAGCCTTACAATCACTTTTATATCATGATCACCTACTCTCAAATTAGTGCTGCATTCCCCATCACCACCCAAAATGGCAGTCCCACATGCCAAAAGTGAACTTCACAAATTTATGCACCAAAAACTAAACGGGGGAGGTAGTCTCATGTTGAA